ATGCTATGCCTCTAGCATCCATCCAACCCAGCCTAGGACCACAATCCCTGGAGAAAGGCTAATCCTCCTCCCCCCAGGCCCCCACCCTGGAACCACATTCAGGCCATAACTCAAAGAGTTAGGTGTTAAGATCTGCCTTCTACAGGTAATGTAAGTGATGAGATGCCCCGGTTTGGCCAGGGTTGTCCTTATTTTTGATGGCTGTTTGGCGGACAAGTGTTCTGGGAACCACGTCCTTGCCTATACAGACAAGGACTTGCAGGCTCTCAGTAGCATGCGCACAGCAGGAGGCAGTATAGCGGCTGGCCAAGGACTCAGGAGTTACACCGACTAAGGTCAAACATCTACTCTGCCCCCAGCATCTGAGAGACCTTGGGCAAGTCACTTTACCCCACCAAGCCCCCATTTCTTTCTCTATCAATGGGGATGGTAATTCTTACTTCACAGGATTATCCAGAGGATGAAGGAGCTAATGTGCATGAGGCATTTCATATAGTGCTGGCCTTAGAGCCAGCCCTCAAGATACATGTTAGATATTAAAATGAAGATGTTAGATGTCTTACCCTAATTTACTGAATCTTCAGATTTATTGTTGAGGATTATTATTGTTGTTATAACATCATTAGCCCCATTTCACAAGGGAGGACACAGACACTTAGAGAGATTAAGTAACTTGCTACACTTTACACAGCTAGTGAGTGGAGAAGCTAAGGTTTGCGTTGATGTCTGTTTGAAACGAAGCTCTTTTACTTCCATGAACAAAAGCGTAACAGATAGTGAGATGTTGGGGCTGCTTCCTAAATGCCCCAGGCTGGTCGTACACAGCTTAGGGGCTGAAGGATGCAAGGCAACAATCCAGTTCTGTGGAAAGAGCCTGTGCCTCATAGTGATGTAGCGGGTGAGGGAAACTGGGCCGTTCAGGTCAGCACCAGAAGGGGGACCCCCACCCTCCACGCTGGTGACAAGATGAGGGAGCTCACGAGCCAGGAAAAGTGGGAGGTCCACAGGACAAGTGCTGTGGATGACTGGTCTGGGGCATTGAGGAAGCCAGCCCACGAATTCTACAAGAATCCTGCAGCACTGTGCTCTCCTGCCCACAGCTCACGCTGCCGGGACATTCTTCACAGACCCCGGATCCACAGCTTGACTCTCTAGCACATTCCCTTTCTCAGAGGCGGTCTCGGACCTTCTCCATCCTTCTGACGTCCCCAGTTAAATCTAACCTCTTGGGCAGAGGCTCCTCCCACCTGTCCACATGGGCAAGTTGCAGATGCTGGAGGAAGCCATCTCCCCTTCCTGCTCCTCACCCCCTGGTCCTCAGCTGTCCTCCCCTCCCTTCCTCTGAGCGGCTGCAGCCTCTGGCCCTCTGCAGGCCCATGAGCACCTCTGTGCCCTGGACACTGTCCCGAACACTCTGATGGGCTACCTGTCACAGCCCTCCATTGGGCCCCCAGTGCTCCTCCCACTGCTCTTGTGCTTCTTGTGCCATCAAACCCAGCCTCTCCTGCAGCCCAGGTGGCTGTCCTCAGGGCCCTGGGCTTTTGTCTATATTTCCCCGATCTTTCCCATGCCCACCACTCAGACCCTATCGCAGGCCAGGTCACTCCCAAATTCCTGTTTGAGAATCCCCAATTAGTGGTGCCACAAAAGAGGGCAAAAGCTTCCTCTGACAGAGCGCAGGCCCGGCCTGCTTGGTCTCTGGCCAGTGAAACAGCACA